AAAAATCATAAATAAGAGGTTAAGTTTCATTCATTTCAAATTTAAGAACCTAAGGTTTAAAATTTCAAATGTCATATTTTTTTTAAGTTTTATTTATAAATTTATTAATTAAACATATATTTTATTAATTAAATATATTAAAGTCACAATTCCATAAAATTTGGTCACAAATTATTTCTCTATCACAATATAAAATTTTATAGGTCGCAATTTTTTCATCTATCACAAATTTATAAAATTATTAAGCCACATATTATTCATTAATCACAAATCACAAATTTTATATATCACAAATTATTTTAACGTCACAATTTAAAAATTTTATAGATCACATTTTGTTCATCTGTCACATGTCAAAAAATGAAACGTAACAATTTATTTGTATGTCACAAATCACAAATATTATCAGTCACAACTTATTAGACAATTATAAATGATCAAATTATTAGTCACAAATTAACAATTTTTTAGGTCACAATTTATCTTTTTCGTTGATCGAATATTGTTTATCGGTCACAAATTAATCAATTTAATAGTCACAAACAACCAAATAGGTCGTGACCACTACCAACACTTGTGACTACCATCTCACCACTGCCCCCAACGACATAGCAACCGAACCGCCGTCCAACGACATAGCAACCGAACCGCCGTCGCCAAAATCACCGCCTCTCAACAATAGACCATCATATAAAAATAATGACATCACCACGACTACCACTACCCACCCACAACCACCGCACCACCACCGCTAAAACCACAAAACCTCCACCACTACCCTCCCCATCCTACAACCCAAAAAAAATCCCCAACCCTACCATCATCATCGTCGTCGCCGACCACCACCAACAGTGCCACCGCAATCACCACCAATCCACAAACATAACAATTCCCGTCACCACCATCTCCATCACAGCCACCACTGCACACAACACCACACCACTCACCCAACCACCGCACACCGTACCACCCACGGCATACCACCACCATCATTTACACAGACCCACACGTCGCAACAGATAGAAAATGGAGAAGGGGAGGAGGGAAAGGAGAGGGAGAGTAGTGACAACTCCGGTTCCACTTCGAGCTACGCAAACTTGGCGGCGCTGCGTGACGATCGTGCGCAGCAGTGCTGCTGTCGCTGCGAAGCACCGGTGCACAAATCGTGTGCAGCTGCCGTGTGTCCAAACCAGTTGCGATCGCCGAAGCAACCTTTCTTTTACTTGTTGACGTCGGAGTCGTCAGAGGGAGGGGGGGCGGGGGAGGAGAAGATGTGGGGAATGATTTGAGATTTTGAGATTTTTAGGGTTTATGTAGTATTAAAGATTTGAATTAATATCTGATTTTTATATAAATAAAATTTAGATTTGATTTTTGAAATTGAATTTTTAAAATTGTGATTGGGTATAATTTCCACTTTTTTTTAGGCC